CTATTTAGCTCAAACCAGGACACCTAGCAAAATAAATAACGAGGAACTTGATTATTTATTATGATCATGCATTTTTCATGGGTCACATCAGATAAGGGGCAATTTCCTCAACCCATTTCAAGTATACTACACTGATGTGAAGACTCTGTTCATAGACTGAAATTGCATAACACAAATAAGAAAAAAAATCTAACTTTAAGATTGGTTTGTAATAACTATTCAACACTAGAAATGAAATCGCTCTCAACCAAATACAAGTGACAGTATTATTTAAAAATAAGGAAATCACATGGAAGGCTAGTGAAAAATACTTTTTCCTCTCTATGGCTTTTTTAATTTCATGCATTTAACAGGACTGCATAAGTGGTAGGCATCTTTTGCTTGCTGTGCATTTCCCCTACACACGACAAAAAGAGAACTTGAATTCAAGAAGGTATAAAAATGGGACTTTTTATAGTCATGGGCAACGGCAAAAAGTTTGGGGGCATAGAGAATACCTAAATTCTGAGAAAGAGAAAAATGTGGCTTGAATGCAAATTGAGTGTGCTCTCTTTCAATGTCAACCAACATAAAAAACAGTCATGCTAGTCTGTGTTTCTGTTGAAAACAAATTGTAACTTACTTGTGCCTGAAAGTAGAGACAAAGGAGCAATACTGGCAGCTGTACTTGTCTTCCTGGGTAAACATGGCCAGAGCCAAGTGACTCCTCTCATGAGATTGCAGACCCTGCATAGACATCAAAACCCGGTCACATTGGCTGCAGTGGTAGACCCCAGGACCAGTTTTATCTTCCAAGGATGCTCCAGATTCGGCTTCTGTAAATTCCATAGTGCCAGGGTCTTCGGCTCCCTCAAAATCCTCCAAATTTGTGCTTGAAGCATCTTCAGCTTCCTGCTAAAAAACACACATACCCCCCAAAGCCATCAGTTCTCTCTCCCTTCTGCCCCTCAGTGTCTCCCATGTATTAATTTTAATATCTAGGTTTCCCACTGCATTTACTTTCTAAAGGTATCCCTACTGTACTATACTAATGACTTTCTGTACAGAGTCTAGTCTTTAATAATATATATATGTATATACATTAAAAAACCAAATAACCCATCTCTTGGTCCCTTTCCTAAGTGTTAATTAGCATAGCACACATTTTGCAGCAACACTAAAACTGAAAGGTATATTTATATCATGTTTTTTGAGTCTTGGATTTTATTTTTTGTTCCCTGCTGTTTAGTATCTACTTGCTCAAAAGGTGGTATTGACCCCACATAAACTTTACTTG